CTCAGTGGCCATTTTATCAGGAACACCCACCATGTAGGTACACAAGTAACTGTAAATGACTGTAGCCCATCTGTTGCTGCAGAATTTGTCAAGCAACATCAATGGAGAGGGGGCACCATAGGACCACCACTGACCAGAAATTATTTGGGTGGTGCTACGGACAGTGATTGTTCACCTCATTCTTAAAAAAGATGTTTTTTCAAGGGTTCCTTGGTAAAGGTATGGTTCTATTTAGAACCATGGGTTCTTTATAGAAGCATTTCATGCTCAAATGGTTAAATGCACAGTGAAGTGGTTCTTTGGATTGATGGAGAATGTGTTGTATATGGTTCTATACAGCACCAAAAAGGGTTGCCTAGTATCGTAACAATAGAAGAACACTTTTTGGTCCTATATGCCTTCACTGAGGAATGGTTCTATTTAGAACCATGAGTTCTGTATAGAACAGTTTCATGCATGGTGAAATGGTTCTTCAGATTGATGGAGAATGTGTTGTTTATGGTTCTATATAGCACCAAAAAGCGTTGCTGGATATCATAACAATAGAAGAACACTATTTGGTGCTATATCCCTTCACTGAAGAGTGGTTCAATTTAGAACCATGAGTTTTATATAGAACCGTTTCATGCTTAAATGTTTCTTTGCATGGTGAAGTGGTTCTTTGGATTGATGGAGAATGTGTTGTATATGGTTCTATATATAAAAGGGTTGCCTAGTATCAGAACAATAAAAGAGCACTTTTTGGTGCTCTATAGAACCAATTTTCAAAAAGGTTCTATATAGAACCATATACAACACATTCTCCATCAATCTGAAGAACCATTTCTCCATGCAAAGAACCATTTAAGCATGCAAAAAGATCTATACAACTCATGGATCTAAATTGAATCATTTCCTTTTCTAAAGAAAGCTTGAATTGAAGAGTGTATATTATATGGTAGGTGTTTCTGATAATATGGCCAATGTCTGTAAGTGCTATAGGTGCTTCTAATTACTGTTTATACATGCAAGTGCAGTGCTAAAAGTGCTCTGTTGAGGAACCGATTTGAACAACATGGCACAACAGACAGCAATTGCGATGTAACTCCTTGTTGTTCACGTTGCATTAATTGGATTTGAAGCCTTAAGGCTCACGGCCTCGTCTTGGCCTCAAAGGCGCAGTGAGGTGAGCTCAAGTGCAGGGGAATCCCTGTCATTGCTGGACGCAAGTCTAGACGACAGGTTTTGTCCCTGAAGACGGTCACTGAATGGGAACTTTGGACTTTTCTGATGCTTGTGGAGGACACCTTACACATCCTTCAGGTGGGGAGATTTGTGCATGCATAGGCTGGAATATAGTGAATTGATGGAGGTACAAATGCAGGACATGACGTCTGTATAATATGACAGTGCTGATATCCCAGCCCTCAAAATGTGATCTGTATTTTATACTTTCTGCTTGGCTAATACAGAACTGTGCAAAAGTCAGAGACCACCCTTCATTTATTCACTTTCTAATCAAAATAGCCATTAAGTAGAAGTTATTTTTCAGATGTTTCTGAGGGGGTTAGATATAAGATAATCCACTTGCATGGGGAAGGGGAACGTCAAAGTAGAAAATGGGACTAACAACCACGTGGAAGACCTGGTAGACCACCAGAACTGTCCCCATCAGAAAAACAGCTGGAAAATCAAGCTTCACTTATGCTTCAGATCTGAGGACTGGAATAAATGGTGGGAGGCCTCTGATTTTGCACAGTCCTGTACTTTATGTTGTTTTCAACATTGCATTTGCCAAACTTCACCATCTCAATCATTGCTTGTGTCCAGTTAGGGATAGTAGCTATCGAATACCAAAAGTGTGGCTAGCAAAAGAGAAGCTACAACAGGTAATGTCAGCAAAATCCTACAGGTAGTCCTCACCAATGCATGCCAAATATGTTTAAACACTGGGCCTAAAAGTAGGCTATACGATATTTCTGTTGAAGTCTTAAATACTGGGAATACTTGTGCTTGAAAGCCGGCACCTATTGCTGTAAGACTGGTTTAAGCAAGTTGCTTATTGGTTCTATAAAACCAATCAATACTGAGGTCTTTCTTTTGTTCTGATGTGTCCATAGTTTACATTTCAGACATATTTTAACCTCTTAAAATGGATATCTACGAATCTTCACTCTTAACCAGGGCTGTTGGGAGCTCTAAGCGACATCTTGGTTGGGGGCCAATCAGTACACCACCCACACCCACCCCCGCCAATCTTTTCAGGAGATTTCCTTTCAGTTTTACGAAGAAATCTGCTTTCCACACCTCCAAAGTTCAGTCTCAGAAGTTGGTTGAACTTTCTGCTCCTCACAATCCAAATAATCCCAAATTCAAATTTAGTCTCGTCTGTCCATAAAAGGGTCATTCTACAGAAACGTCCACTTTTTTATCTATCCATAGGAGTCACTGGTGTTACTGATGGTCATTATTGTTACACATAAGAAAGGGAACACCAGAGACATTTTTAATGAAAAATGCATTTTATAAAATGGCTGCTACAGAGCATCAAACCACATGTTGTCAATCATGGAACATCCACTAAAATATGTCATTTAATCCATTTGTATTCTATTTTTTCACAATGACCTAAGAATAAAGTCGGTCACACCAGTGACTTCAACTAAAAGCTTCATATGAAATCATGAGCTAAATGAGAAAATCTCTGATAACTGAAAGACACAGTGGACTCACCATGTGCTTTTCTTCATAGATCTTCAGAAAACAGGTAAAAGGAAGTCAAGTGATGTCATCAGTGTGATCTTTATTTCAAAATAAGAGATTTTTTTTACGCAGTAACACCAGTGACACGACTCCTGGGGACCAGAACTTTCATTATATATTTTATAATATTTATTTGTTTTCTTTATGTCATTTAAATCATATATTTCACAGTCATGTATAAATGATTGCAGTTAAAATAGCAGAAAATACATGTTTTTTACCTCATGACTGTGAGGACGAGCTCTTCTGTGGTGCTTTGAATTCTATATAATTGATTTAAAAACCAGTATTGCTAAATTGAGGCTCAAGAAGGTGTAATTGTTAAAATTGTTTTATTTTAAAATATAAATAAATTGTAACCCTAACATGTTTTTCAATTGTAATACATATCCATAAACACTAGGGATACAAAAATATTTCCATAGAATGACTCAAAAGCTTATTCCACATTACAGATGTCTGGTTTTGGTGTTCTAGTGCAACAAATGCATAATTGTGCAGCCCCCTGAAGACCAGGGGGCCTATACAACAGCCTATATATCACTTATAGCTAGAAACAGCCCCTGTATTAAATAAATAACTTGAATGTATGAGTTTTCTTTAAAGGTTACTGAGTAAATCACAGTAATAACTGAATAATAAGCCTCAAGATCAAAAAGTTGAAGGGGTTAATTGGTTTGGAGTGTATTAGTCTAGTTTGTGTGTCAACCAGTCACCCAGACTCCACACATACCCTGAGAAAGTGGTCTGGAGGAAAGTCAAGTCGCCATAATATGGAAGACGTTCAGCCGCTCGTTTGAGGAGCTTCATCATGATGAGTCCACTAGCCTTACTTGGTGATTCACTGACCTGCATGGCAGACATAAGGTAGCCAATAGTGGTGACAGCAGGAGACGACAGTAAAGGTCGAGTCCAGAAAGTATATTTCTCTGAGATTCTTCACGTAGAAAGACTGCGAGGCCTTTCAGAGACTGAGTGTTCTCTGAGGAACAGATGGAGTGAGAGGCAATGCTTGGAGAATGACTCAGCGCTGAGATGGGAACGTTTAATATGGGAGAACATCACACCTTCAGAGAGATGAGAAATATTTGTTGTCAGCATGTCCCAAGACCACCCCACCCCGCCAAACCTCCCTCTCCCTCTCATTCTCACTCTGTTGTGATTATATATTCATGTGAAAACCTTGTCAGACGCAGTTGTACAAAACTAGAACACTATATTGTAGGCCAAGCGAGATGGCAGCCTGTTGTGCGTTTGAGCAAGCGTGAGTGTGAAAATGTGCGTTTTTTAACAATCGGTTTGTCTGTTGAGCTCAGGGACGCGGGGTGGGGGGGGGGCTGCCAAGGGGGCTGCAGCAACCTCAGGTTTCAGGATTGTTTGACTTCTTCCTTTAACTTTTTTTTTTTTTAAATACTAAAATGGAAAAGTTGGAAATGTTTTGTTAATTTAAAAATAAGTTTCTATATCCTCTACAGAGAACACACTTCTGTATATTTTAATGCACAATTATTGATTTTTGCACACTTATTGCTGAATTTAACATACCGAGGGGACAAAATAAAACCTAAAGTTATGGCACATTTCATATTTCATGCTTAATTTTGTTTCTGGTGTAGTAAACTCAGCAAATAAATAGAAATTGTGCACTACAATTTGCAGAAAAATGCCATGTTTAAGTCTCTTCCCTGTAGAGAATGTGTACACTTATTTATCCTCACTTGTTGAGGCACCTCGGGGCTTTGGGTTCCTGGCAGTTAGAGGCTCCTTTGGACACCTGCATGGTCAGTAATCCATCCCTGATGCAAAGCTTATCCCCCCGTGCCCTCAGTAATGAGGCCTACATGTTACATGTCCATGTAGACATGTTACATATCACAATAGGCCTGTAAATATATGTTATACATATGTATATAAACATGTATGTGTACATATATACATATACACATACATATGCAAACACACACACACACACACACAGACATATATATATATATATATATATATATATATATATAGTTTATAGAGCAGTGGAAGAACACGTGATTGTGCAAAGCAACACTTCTTCATGTAGCCCTTCCTTCCTTCTTTGTCCGCAGCTGTTTGTTTTCCAGCCGCTGTAACGTACGGACTACATTACCCAGCGTGCATTGCGTGCCCTACGCCGTTTCTCCCAGCTGACAGTCGCGTTTATAATTAAATAAATAAATACAAAATAAATAAATAAGTAAATAGACCTCCATAAGCGCGAGCTGGCATGAGAGAGGGGGGCAGGACATCGAGAGGATCGCGCGAGCAGCACGGTCACACTGGACTCTCTGTCTATTCGTTTATTTATCTACTCGTTTTATTTTTGATTTTTTTTTTTTTTTGTTCTTTAATTTAATTTGTTTGAAGGGGTCCGGTGTTGAAACGTGTATTGTGCGCGCGCGCGTGTATCGTGCGAGTATGTGACCGCGTATGTGTGCGCGCGCGAGTGCGAGTGCGAGTGTGACGGCTCCGTGCATGCGCGTTTCGGGTGCGTTCTTCTCTTTTTTTTTCCTCGATGCTGAGGGATGCAGTGCGGCTCTGCTGAGCGCGGAGGGACGATGGTGGTGGAGAGCGATGAGCAGCGGCCGGACAGGGACGCCGCCGCCGCGGCCACGGCCACCGCCACCGCCACGGCCGCGCTGCACCAGTGCCAGCTCCTCCAGAACATGATCGAGATCTCCATCTCCAGCCTGCAGGGGCTGCGCACCAAATGCGCCGCCACCAACGACCTCACCCAGCACGAGATCCGCACCCTGGAGGTAAAGAGGTGGGGAGGGGGGAGAGAGGGGGGAAAGGGGCGGGGGGAGGGGGCAAATCAGAGCAGGGTGCAGGAGGCCCCTCTGTTTACCCCTGTCTATCTGCCCCATGCTGCCCTCAGCCCGGTGCACGGCTGCTGGGCTTGATTCAGAGCTGCTCGCCAGCTTGTTGTTCGAATATCCCCGTTCCACCTTAAATGGTGCAGCAGTTACATTATGAACCTGAGGCGCTAGGATGTAAATGCTGCACTATTTAAGGTGGAACGGGAAAATTCGAACAACAAGCTGGCGAATAGGAAACCAGCTTCAGCCTCGTTCCAATTTCTTTCCTATTTTCCGCCGCTGTTGTTGTTGTGGGGGGTTTTGCCCACCATGTGCACTGCAATTTGTGCTGTGGTCCTATTTTCTGCTGAACACACATTGCATTTGTGTTGAGGTGCTGCACACGTTGCAGTTGTGCCATGGTGTTATTCTCTGCTGCCGCTTAAAAAGCGATGGTTCTTCAAGGGTTCTTTAATGAAGGGCAAACCATTAGTTCTATATAGAACCATTCCATGCTTAGACGGTTCTTTGCATGGTGAAACGGGTTCTGTTCTGTATAGAACCTTTTTGAAAATGGTTCTCCATCAATCTGAAGACCCTTTTCACCATGCAAAGATCCAATTAAGCATGCAAATGGTTCATGGTTCTAAATAGAACCATTGCTTTTACTGAAGAACCATGTTTTTGGAGTGTGTAGTGCTGCACGACAGGGTGCATCGAACTGTGAATAATGGCACCAAGTAGGATAAATACATACACGAGGAGCCACCACAGCACACTAACCTTGTTCACATGGCAGTGTGTGTACCTGATGACTGGCACTATTTTTTCTTTCTTTAAGGCAGATCAATTTTTAAAATCAATTTCATTTAAGACCTGGGATATTTCTGCGTCGGGCTGTGTGTGATAGTGTTTGCGGTTCTTTAACAGGAAAAGAAAAATTCCTTGCCTTTTTTATTTGAAGAGTTTCGTGTGTAATATTATAAACTTTCAAGCAATACAAATTACTGCCCGGTCTGGACATACGGACACTTAGACTAAAACAGTGACATCACAAAAACACCACTTTAGCCCCGCCCACTCATGCTGAAGTTATAAGGAGTGTTTTAGCCCAGACTGCTTTTTAAATGAGGCGCGATACAGGGCGGCCAATCAAGGCAGAGCTCATTTACATACATCAGTCTTAAAGGTGGGGTATAATAGTAAACGATGAAATGGAATCGGTCATGTAAAAGTGAATTACTACATGAAATCAATGAAAGTGGATCTCTGACAATAGACTAAACAATAAATAGTGAGATAAAGGTCCATAGTCTTAGCAACCAGCTCGACTTTTTTTTAGGGGGGTGTGGCTTGGGGAGTGGTGGGGTTAATCGCTTTTGAGGCTATTTTAATTTTTTTCACATTAGGGTCACATGGTCACAGCTGAGGTGTATTTGTGGTGAGTGGGTAACTGTTGGGCTACCTGATCAATAATTAGTGAACTCATGGACTGAGTTGTGGACTGCTATTTTTAACGCCTACTGTGCTGGGATTGGCTGATAGCTTTAACTACTGGGTGAGGGAATAATGTTTACCGCCCACCATGTTTTGACACACTTTGCTGATGTACTAAAATGACCGTTTGTTATTGTACCATGGCCTATATTTGGATGAATGGCCCATATATTACATATGACTTGGTATCCTTCATTACATTATGTTTTTATATGTATATGATCTTAATACTAAGATATATATATATATATATGCTTGGGGGGGGCGTGTTAAAGGCAACCAGGTTTCTCAGCCAGGGCTCAGTTTCCCAAAAGGACCTTAGTATTAAGATCATTTCAACCCCTTTAATGGCCAGGGTCCGCTGGCAGGCCCGAAGTTTTATTACACACTTCTATATCCTAAGAATAGCTCAGCCAGTTTGCATTGTAGTCCCTGTAGTTACTAAATAATAAGCCTTAATATGTAATAAGCCTGGGATTTTAGGGAGTTAACTGTCAGAGAGAGTGTTTATTGTTATGCTCGCTCTGCCATCTAGGAATTTGTGCAAAGATGCTTTCGGAGCAACTTTACCCAAAAGGCCTGTATATTAAGAGAAGAGGTGAAGGACATTCTTACTGGACGGTTCCTACTTTTGGCGTTTTCAGCTTAACTGGGAAATCATGCGATGTGAAGTAGCCCCCTGTATGATATTCTTTGGGCCTGTGTAGATTATAATGTGTATCACTGAGCTGTCTTTGTGTTTGGGTCATAGCATCACGCCGTGCACATTTCTCTTTGTCCCTTTGGTCTGAGTCTCTAATCAGCAATCAGCAGACTAAATGTGCTGCTTCACTGGATTACAGGCTAAGCTGTCATGTCTTAGAGGGAAGGAGTTCTGGAGTTGTGGCTTTTTTGGTGCAAGAAATAATTACATCCTTTGCATCTATGCGTAGCCTGTATGATGAGGGCGACGTGCAGCTGGCTGGTACCTTTTACAAAGGCTTTAATCCCAGTTCACAAACAGATGCCTTCGTTTTTGAAGATCGCAGGATTGGCTCTGATGATCCTGCAAGACCGGATTCTACAAAACATGCACAGAGTTTTCCCTGTTTTGCTCCGTTCCGCGGCCTTGTCACGGTTTTAGCTCAGCGTTTTCTTGCGGTATTTTTAGAGGCCGAAGATCAAATGAACAGCTGGAATATTGTGCCACCAGCTAAGCTATTTCAGGACCATGAGCCAAACGGCTGCTTTCAGTTCTGCTTCCTGTTGAAGCAGGAAGTATCCCCCCAACCCCTCCCACCTGTAGTCCAGAGCCATTTGGGCCTTTGCAGCGTCAGGAAGCAGCGGGGTCATGACTGTTGAGGAATTGCCCCGTCAGCTTCCTTTTGGAGCCTCTCTGCGGCCGCTTTACCGGTCAGGCCTTTTTCCTCTTCTGCTCTCCAGTGCTACGAGGCTTCCTCTGCATCACACCATATTTGATTAGTCATAGTACAGCAGGGCTGCAGCACAATCGCTCATCGCTCCCTTCATTTACAGGTACAGGGCTCATTAGCGTGTGATGTGGGATGCGTTTTTTATTTTTGGCAGGCTCCTTCTGACGACGAGGAACGAGAACAAGGTGCTAAACAGAGTGTTCTGATTTCGATTCCTTCATAGCCAGATCGTCCATCGCTACCTTTTGGCTGGTTTCACTGGCAGCAAAGACAAAAACACTGTTTCTTCACCTTTTTACCCCTTTTGATAAATGAACGTATTGATATGAAACACATATCGAAATGATATTTGATGACACATCTACTGTACTTGGAAAGCAGCAGAAGGTTTAGGTGATGCTGGGTTACTGTGCTAAAATGTCTGCACTTTTTTTTTACATTTATAACCCTACAGATAGATTATTATGTTTTACATAGTCATATTGTATATCTTTGTTTTTTATATCATTTTTATTTTCATATTTTTATATATTTTTAATATTCTCTTTCCCTTTTTTATATTCTTATCTTTTTTTATGTATATTCTGATTTCCAGTTGCACTTTATATTGTGTATGGCTGTTTGTGTGACAGTAAAGCTTGATTTGATTTAATTAATCACTAATATTAATTAATGGGTAGTTCTGGTCCTAAACTCTCCATTGGCTGAGCTGCGCTCTAAGCTGTAGCAAAATACTCTGTATACGTGCACCCATGACTGCCTCGCTCACAATTCAACTCTGTATTAATGCACAAGACAATGCTAAAAACATTCTGTTGTGGATGGATATTATGCTTTGTATTGACAGATGAATTATGAACCCGGCTTTGTTTAAACTGAGAGGCTGATAATTTGTTTTCTTAACAATTCGGCTGAAGGATAGCAGGCTAAGCAAAAGGTAACAGGCTAAACCGCTCCTCCAGTGTTTGAGTTCACTGTAAAACTGCAAAATAAAAGTAAAGAATACGTTACTCTGTCTTACATTCTTCATGTCTGTCTTATGTTTAGCTGCCTTAAGTAATATCAAACCCGGTCTGGGGGAATTGATGTATGGCACTGTTAGCTTGATGCTAACACAACACAGGAAATAATGCGCTAGCGGAAAGAATCCTTTTTGCTGTGGTGGTAATTTCATGAGCAAAAACTTCATATAAGGCAAAGGTTTCTTCATTAAACACCGCTGTACTGTGATATTTTCATTATTATGTTCTTGTCCTACTTCAGGCATCCAAAATAGCTTGGCTACGATACCATACTTCAAACAAACTACACTTCTTGGTTTACATTTCATAGCTTTTATGATTATTGATTACACATAAATTAAAAACGAACATAGATTAGCATAGCTGGTCACCAGCAAAGCCAGCGATATGTTGTATTTTAGATGCTGGTATTCTGGTCAGCAGTAATGTTAATATGCTGATCACCAGCAAAACCAGCATATGTTGTGTTTTGGATATAGATATGCTGGTCAACCAGCATGGACAGGCTTGGTGACCAGCTAAACCTGCACCAGACCAGCATAAAGAAGCTTAGACTAGCATGAATACATACGGAAATCTGATACATGGCAGTATATGGATTTCAAATATATGACATATATTAGCATATATGGATTTCCCTTTTATCCAGCTTACATTAGTCACATATGGACATATATGTGACATATACACCTATTTGAAATGGGCCGTTTTCACATATTTCAGTCATATATCAACATATATGAACTAATTTAACAATATATGGTAGAAAGCATTATTCATATATGGATGGCATATATTGCTCATATATGTTAGCTTCATGTTATATAAGGTTTTTGGTATGTTACATATATTTCTGGTGTATTTCATTTTAATTTTCAGTTTCAATTGAAATTTCAATGTTTGTGTCAGACATATATGTGTGATTCATGCACTAGACATGCATGAGACAGACAGTAAATATGAGATCAATATATTATGCATGTGTTCACCCACCTTATATATATGTACATATACACAAGTGAGTGTTGTC